GGATTTGCTCAACGAAGATATACTCAGGTATCAATTACCCAGCAATTGGCGTGCAACACTCTTGATACTGTACAATTTCTGCCATCCTTTGGGAAATACTGGCGGGAACGTGATCATTTCTAATGTGTGAGTTCTTTTGCGACATATTAGGATTGTGAAGGTGTATATCATTGCACGAATGGTTACATTAAACAAATCGTATGGCCGTCTCGTGTGCAAGGGTGTGCGCGTGGCGTGTGTATGTGTGTGGAATATTGAATTGTTATGCTCTTTGATAACTGCTCACATATTTATTCGCATTCTAATCTACCCAGGTTGAGGTTCATCAAAGACTGGCAGTTGTCGTTCAGGCAGGCATGTTTCTAGATCAATATCCTAGAATGAAGTGGAATTGCGGAAGTATGAGCGTTGGCTAACATAAGCGCGTTCCTTAAAGAATTAATATTAGGATGAAGTATTTGAATTAGTAAGCGATAAAATAACATACTAACCTGGCCATTGCTGTCGTAAAGGTACACGTTGAGGTCGTCTCCAGTGGCGAACGTTGGCTCATTCTCGCATACGAATGAATGAGGAGGATGACTTGCTCCTTTACCTCGTGCATAAATCTGGAACAGTTCCGTTTTCACAACGAATTTCATCCTTCGAGTCGCCTTTCCTCCTGTCTTTTCATTTCTTTCAGGCTCTCAGTGCCTTGCTCTGATCATATTGGAAATCGAAGGCACTTTTCACCCTGGGTGAGCAAAATCACGCCCTAGGTGCGAAGAGGTAACGTGGTTGAACGAGTTCACCGGACAATGGTGCCACGATCGCTATAGCTACCGCAATTCGGCCCACCTGATTTCTTATTAACATCCGTGCTCCTTCCTTTTTCTTTAGCGGGTCTTCTGTTATTACGGCGCGCCCTACCCATACATAGAGTGATGGGTGGGACCGATAAGGGTGAGACGATATGATGAGAGGGACCAAAGCATGACTCGCGCACTCGCTTTGCGCTTTGAAAGTGAAGCAACTGCTAGCATTGTAGACCAGGCTACTCGCTTGCAGGGAGAGCGGCTTCTGAACTAATCGTGGAGCGTGCCTTCAAATCATGGCGACTTCTTCATTGGTCTGATCTTCATCTTTGTCATATGAAGAAGAAGAACGACACGATCTACAAAGTGCGCCGCCTATGCGATAAGTTTAGTCTGCCAGTTGTCATATTTCTTCGTTGTCTTTATCCTGCTGGGTTTGTAGAATACTGCTCTCTCCGAGCTTCATCGGATAATTGCAGATAGATGATTTCGAAGCTCTTGCATCAAATTCTTTATTGGTGAGCTTTCGGCGATAACGCCGTCATCAGACTTTCAAATTAGGCACTACTGAACTATTCCTACCCCAAAAACTGAAAAAATTTTTTGCTGAAACGTTGCCTATAGGTGTAATTCGATGTCCTGATCACGAATATCACATTCGTTTCAAGCGCTGGCGTATCTGGCGCCAATTTGGCGCCACCACTTTTTTCACCAAAGTCGATGAAAACTTGCATATGGGGGTTAATTGAGGTCCTGATTACGAATCCGACATTCATTTTTGGCGTTGGCGCCATTTGGCGCCATTACGCGCCAATTTGGCGCCATATTGGCGCATAATGGCGCCAAATGGCGCCAGCGTTTGAAACCAGTGTGATATTCGTGATCAGGATGTCGATTAACCCCCATATGCAAGTTTTCATCAACTTTGGTGAAAAAGTGGTGGGCGCCAAATTGGCGCATAATGGCGCCAAATGACGCCAGCGCTCGAAACGGATGTGATATTCGTGATCAGCGCATCGAATTACATCTATAGGCAACGTTTCAGCGAAAATTTTTTTGAGTCTTTTTTGGGGTAGGAGTGTTCAATAGTGCCTCAAATTAATACATTAGCGACCTACAGCTTTAACAATTACATCAACATCAGCATTAAGACCTAGCAAGAGTGCGGAAGGTTGACCTGCCGGTGCGGCGGTATAAATGAGGAAGAGAATGCCAGCAGCCCTAAGGCACAAGCACCAACTGTTGTCACATTTATCACGCAACT